AAAAAGACTTCGAAGTAACCACTTTATCATCGCTTCCCACATGGCTGCAGTAGATATTACTGACATGAGAGATTTCACATGATTGTCTCATACTATATAGTAGTTCTCACCAAATCCTAACAATTTCCTCTGCAATCCATGTTAATGAACTTTTTAATTTTCTTCGCCTCCATAAATTTTCTGTGCCCTCTTCGGAAGTGCAGACCAAACTCGAGAAGGTTGCTTTGAAATTATGCTCACCATTAACTGCAAGCTGCTATGGTGCTCAGCTGGTCCTCACAGTAATCGCTTGAGTAGATTTGGTTGGCAAACCCCCGGGCTTTAATCATACTTAACTACTACGGTCCCTGCACTTGTAAAAACTCACAGACGTAGGTTATTATACATTTATTCAAGATATAATGCACAAAACGCATCTAGAAATTTAATATGCACAGAATTCTAGGTAAGTTTAAGTTCAATTTACGTTGGCAAAACATGATTAAAGTGTTTTTGCAACTGAAATTTGCTAGCGGATCTGGTGAATTGGATTTTTTAGGAAGCTCCACTGCGGTGATTGCTGTCCAAAAGAGAAGAATTGAAATTCTTCAATCTAGATTCAATAAAAACGTAATCGAATTTACATGGGCTAAACGCATCTTTGAGCTCGTGGCTCCATGGATTGTTGTCCTTATTGATGATTCTTTATATAGCTTTACTTATTTATCGGGCACGAAGAATCAAATCAAACAGGCCATGGGCCTATTTCTTCGTCGTCGAAGGTCAGGGTAATTATTTACCAGGTTTAGCAGTTTTTCATAAGTTTTATTCACATTTTGCGCGCTTATAAACGAAGCAAATTTTTATCATTGTTTTAGAATATATCGTAAGATAGTTGGGTACGGTATGTTATTATGAGCGACAGTGGGAAGAAGAAAAGCCCCAAGGCTCACGTAATACGAGTGTTAATAACAACCGAAGACCAGGAGTAACCATAACAAAAATCGCTAGATAAACAGAGTTAAATGAATAGATTTTCATCGTTTTTTATAATCAACTATATCTTGGCATGATATGACAGTGCATGCAAGTCTGATGACCACCACCAAAGCTACCGACATTGTTAAGCCAAATTATTATAATGTTTTAATTATTTCAAAGTGTGAATATCGTAGCTAGCGAAAATGATCCGATTTTTAATGTAAATTTAAATCAGAACAGCAATCAGAAATTGCCTGTGATTGTGATTTCTGTCGAATTGTTTGATCCTGATGATTATAATTATATTATTACAGAAATCAAATTATGTATCCTAAAACAAATACGCTAGCGGTGCGATTTATAAAACTTTAGTGATGGTCTTGATATAACTGAAGCAATGAAGAAGTCCTGAATCAGACAAAATTATTTATCGGCAACAACCGATCCAATATAAAAACCGCTGTCAACTATCAACAAAAAAAAAAAAAAACATTTTTAGCACACGAAAATTGCTTTTTCAAAATTTTAGAATCTTACTTGTATTGCGCACTCATGGACGAAAAATTTCGTTCATTCAACTTAATTTTTCTCTGACACTCCTGGTAGCAGGATATTAAAAAATTGGTGACCCTTCGTTTTTTGATTGACGTTTTAATCTTGTCTGTCTGAAAAAAGATAAACTTCCAACTCGCAACTTGCTTCTCTAAATAGCATAGATGTAAAGAATAAAATGTTGAAGGATGACAACATTACTTTTTTAGCGCATTTTCTCATTTATGGAAAAAAGGCGCTATTAAGCTCGCCATGTCCGTTCGTAAGTCCGTCTGTCCGTCTGTCCGTCCGTGACTTCACGTTTTCGTTGACGAGAAAATGCGTTCTCTGTCACTCACTGCAGTGAGTACTGAGCTATATTTTTTACTGTTGAGCAGGGAACAGCAATTAGGCTCGATGTTCATTATAATATAATTTTGCGAGGAGTTACGACGAGTTGACATTCATGTTACTAACAAGCGAGAATAAAACTCTGATATGTAGGGATGACGATGAGCACAAATGAGTTATTGAGAGAGAAAAATTATTAATTGGTACGAAAAATAGTTTTATTAATATAACAGTGCATGACAGTCTTTCAACGAGCGGCCATATATGAGTACCTAGCCACATTCATATACATTGAATCGACTGTATGTAGAATCTCCATCATACGAATGCTGCGTCCATGGACAGAAGCGCGACAACGACAAGAACAATCAAAGACTCGAGTCATTCAATGGTCGATACTAATCTCGTCTATTTGTTATCAGGCATTTTTTTCTATTTATTGAGGTCTGGCCAAAGGCGACATATCGATGCGCCATCAGAGGTGAAGATCCATGCATAGCTGATGATGAGTTCGTAGAAATGACATCGGCGCTGTCTATATACGAGCCTTGATTTAAATCTAAGTCAACGATGTACGTTGATGCCTCATCTATGTTCCATCGATGCCCATCTATGTTCCATTGATGCCCATCCATGTTCCTTCGATGCCCCATCTTTGCTCCATCGATGTCCATCCATGTTCCATCGATGCCCATCTATGTCTTGTAGAATTACCCAAATTTATTGCTTTATTTTTGACGAATAAGCCTCATAAGATGATGCCATCGTATTCCTAGCTGCTTTAAAGTGAATTATGATTGCGATTTAACTCGTTAAGGTAATTTTTAGAATAAAGTTTCCGAGTTTGCCTCGCACTCTGAGCAGAACTGGAAGCTGTCGAGACCTCATCCCGCAAGTTATTATCTCGTAACAAGTCGGAAGTTGCCTGCCAGAACCAACATCCCACTTTTAATGTCTCGAATTATGAAGAAAAATATATTCAAGTAAAAACCTCGTCAGTCATATTATTAAATGTTTCTTTAATTAAGTTTGAAAATTGTTTGATAACACCAAACCATTGCAATTTCCAATATCGTTGAATTTCAACCCTGTTTCATATATATTCGCTATGTTTTAACTAGAGTCTTCGCCAAGGACTATTTCGGAGTTCTCCCTTGAATTGCGGTATGCGCGCATTATATTTAGCGCACATAAAAATTAGTCTGGATTTGGCGGGCACTCGCTCATTATCTCTGTGAACTGCCGTGGGCGCCGCGATATCGTGCCCTTTAAAATTCATTTATTTGAGTCATCCATCTTCATGAAATATGAATATCTCCCAAATTACGTGCACGTGTATATTATTAAAATTCCCCTGAATTTTCACCCAAATATTTACCATTAATTTAGTAGAATGGAAAGAATCGCGAAAATGTACCTTTGGCGTAACAATATCTTGTAGAATTTGTTTTTTATGTTACCAGCATACCTGACGAATAAAACCAAAATTCAAGCTGTCATAATTTGCCACAATATTAAGCGGTTGAAAGTCTTAAAAACAAAATCTGTAAACTAGTATTACTTGTTTATAAAACTTGCATGCACTGAATCTACATAATTAACCTTATGAGATGGAACGTCATTTGTACATCGATGCAATTTGAGAGGATGGCTTTCCACTCAAGTTACCACTCAATAAACAAATAATACTTACTTGATAAAATATTGGGTTATTTCTCGCTTTGAAACTGCATTCTTAAAATAAAAACACAGTAATTACACAGTTTTGTTTTTATAGTTAAAATATAGGCGTTGCACATACTGTAGATTCTCAATACCCGTATTTCCTCCGATGAATTTCCTCTGGATAAATTACGTAATATCATCGTGTCAAAATTTGGTGGGAAAATGTCGTCCATCGAAAGACCGCCGTTAGCTCTGGCATTTGGTCTACCGGTTCGCGGGCGCGCGCTAAATTGAGGAACCGTGTGAACAATTTGTTTTAGACGGGCGATCTGAAATTGCATTCACTTCGTTTATTACTAAGCCCGCTTCATGGTAAATTCTTTCTGATGTTTTGAAACAATGGAAGTGTATCTGACAGTGATTAATTTATTCCTCCAGAATCACTAGATAAATAGAGCGTTCACTAGTAAGTGATGCATCAATTATTGTTTCACGTAATTTCATTAGATTATTCTTCGTTTAAATGTAAGAAAAAAAAATTGTTGACGATCGTATCTCATGCTGCTTCATTTTCATTCACTGAGACCGAGAAATTTTAAGTTACATTTTTTTTCTCTAGCTGAATGCAAATTTTTTATTTGAAATAGCAGAATACTTAAAAAAGTCACAGGCCACATAATCTATTTCATTCTATAAATACTTCAGAACACTTCACATAATCTATTTCGTTCTAAAGCTCTTATTCCTAACGTGAACGTCACTTACAAGTTTTTCGCAGCTCTCACTTGAAGGATGAGGTTACACTGAAGGGACGCCTGTTGCCCAGCTTATCCCACTTGGCGGGCGCCTTGTCAGGATATTTCAGCTCACCACTTCCTGGCAGCTCTTCCCTGAGGCGCCTGGCGAGGCGCAGGAGAGCCTGGCGAGGCGCAGGAGAGCCTGGCGAGGCGCAGGAGAGCCTGGCGAGGCGCAGGAGAGCCTGGCGAG